TATTGCTTAAGCTCCAGGGAAAATAACTGCAGCCATGAGGCTCTCTACTAAAATTTGTGGCTTCCAAGATAGCACCTATGTTTTTTTCTACACCTGTTCACAAATTCCAAAACCATTAGGGTCACTGCATTCACAACTCAAGGATGTTTCATAATACTCTTTGGAATTTAATTTTTCCAGCAAGAATATTTTTGAACCATCTTCGAATGCAGTGTCATTTAGAAAGTTTTCTGCCTTCCATTTCATTGAGATTGATAACACCCCATTCAATTTCTGAATCCCCATTATATTTAACCATTCTGTTTATTACCATATTTATATGTTTAATATACATGTCGGTCCAGAGTACTTTTGCTAGAGAGCGTTTAGCACAGTCTTTGTATAATCAGGCCTCACAGTTTAAATTTTTACCAAGTAGACGTTTGGCTACAAGTATTTTTTCTAGGTAGCCGAGGTAAAATCAAGAAGTCAAGCCAATATTGTAGGTAGCCAAAAGCATTTGAAATCATCTTTTATCAAATAACTATTATAGTATGTACAAGTTATAGCACCAGTCTTGGAATTGTATATTAGTGGAAACTGTACTTGATTTTTGTTACTTGTGACTCGAACATGACAAACGATGATGCAATTTATGTTACCAGATTATATAGGTATATTCTTGCTTATCCAATGAGCATTGTCAAAGAAAATACATTAATATTTATGTATTTCGGTTCATGGTTCATTGTCGACTTTAGGATGAATTATTTGCGAGTACAATTATTAGAAGACGTGTTTTCCACGATCAGCTGTTATTTATTTTTTTGTCTAAAGATGTGTAGCAATAGAATTTATATATATAGATATTTTTCAAGGTAGTCATTTGGCTACCTCTGAATTTTACACAGTAGACAAACTGAAATTTAGGTCGCATTGACGACCGTTTTAGTCGTAACCTTGAGACCTGATAATACACAACATTGCAAGATATTTTTAACAAAATAGATTTCTGAGTAAGCCCTTCAAGCACATGTGACCAGGAGTGAGTGAGTGACTTGGGTTTAATGCTCTTTTAAAAGAATTCCAGTTTTACCTTGATGTCAGCAAAATGTGGGAGGAAAGCCCAAAGTGATGCAGTTCCTCGATGTTTACCAATTTGGTAAAACCCATGAGAACAGCTACGGTGCTGACAAACCTATGAACATAATTAGGGCAACCAGGATTCAAACCCACAATCATAGGTTCCTGGCGTGCCCAAGGGATGCAACTCTGCACATAGAATACGTCACTTTAGACGCCAGGGCCACCCATGCCCCCTTGGTACCAGGAACTTATTTTAACCTTTACAATTCTAACAGTTCCATTAAACTCTAATTTTTACATGGAATTTCGAAACCTACGACATACAAATGACAATATCCTACAAAGCTTACCATATGTACTCCCTGCTACTTCTTGCATATCAGCTCGTATCAGCATCCCATTATTGCGTCCATCACAAAGACCTCACATCAAGGTTTCAAATTAAGCCATATGGCATCCTACACGTTTATATACTTCCAGTGCAATGGACATAAGAAACAGCTGTGATGTCTATTACACTGCCGCCACACACAACCACTCAACCATCGTCAATTACTTCACCATCATATCCATCTTAATACCACTTCCGTAGACAACTGGAACAATTTATGGCCCATCTCCTTTGGAAAAAAATTGGTTCGGCAAGAAAAAATTAATTATTAATATATCATGTGAATGATCAGAGGTTGGAGTCAGTTAGACAGCCGATTTGAAGAGATTATTACATGACAGTGGTCCTAAAAGTCATCGAAGCAAGGACTGTTGGCTACTTATCTTCTATGATTAATCTACATTGATGTGCTTTTGGTTTTGTCTTCTGAGATGGTGTCTGGAGATCAAGTCTGTGTTGGGTTTTAATTCCAAAGCCTTCCTTTTCCTCTCAAACTGATGAATATTTCATAGAGGTGTTATTTGTGGTACAAATTGAATCCATTGATTAAGCATGCATAAGATATAAAAAAAAGCAATTGTCTGAAACTGCTAAAAAGCACATTCATTACTTGAAATAGCAGGATCTTGGGATAAATTTGCTTCAGAAAATTGCTTCCTTTGTCATGCATGTTTCAAGGAACATTTAGTTTTAAAAAAATATTCTTGTTTGCTGTGATTTATTACAAATGTATATCATATCTTCATACTTCGATTATCAACTCCATTTGTAAAACTGACACAAGGGAATAAAAAATATGTAAGTGCATGTAGGTCTTATGCTGCAGCCAGGAAGATTGTTTTTTTTTTATCATGGGTTTGATAACATTGTAGCGTTGTATTCAGTACAATAATGTCAAAGTAAGCCTCATACTCTTTGTGGTTCCTGTTATCAGTAGAATACAGGCAAACGTGGACCAAGTCATCACCTTAGGTATACCGTATTCGACGTAATAAGCGCCCCGCTCTAATAAACGCCCTCGGCGATATTTGCTAATATATTGGCTAGTGAACAATCCCAATTAGCACCCCTTCCGATTGATTAATGTACACAAGACATTTATTCGCGTATAATACGCACTCGTTATATGCACACTTAATTATGGGCAATTAAATTCGGAAAAAATATATGTGTCGTACATAAACATTTCAGGTTGTCAGCATAAACCACGAAATTAATCTTTCAACTCAACTTTTTTTCACCAAAATAATATTCTAATTTTGAGAGCGCCCTGGGCGCTTATTACGTCGAATACGGTAACCATGTTTTAGGGCTGGGACGAGTCCAGATTTACTACCCAGGTACCCACCCACCCTATTACCTGACCCTACCCGGGTACCCGCTGTTGGTCTCAAGAGATAGGTTCAAAATGTCCTATTGGCATGATTGGTAAACGTTTGACTGTAGCCCTGGCAAAATGTATTTAGATACAGGTATAAAATCATCTGGTCATGCATACACTAAAGTTGACTGAAGTTTTAGCTTTATGCAAACATATAATGTCAGAAGGAATGTGTGCATAGTCGGAAAGAAATGTGATCATTTGTCACTTATAGTGTAACCATAGAGTTCTAGATAATTTTTGCCATTAAACAATGTAATCATGTGACTTACCACAGGTCCGGGTAGTCCTGTGGGTACCTAGGTCCTACTCAGTACCCACCCAACCCGAGTACCCAAGTTACCCGTCCCAGCCCTACTATGTTTATATGAAATAAGATCTTTTTAATATTTTTAATACAGCCCCCCACATGACAAGAGAAATACACATAAAATTCACATCAATGTTTGACCGAAACATTTGATGATACACTGGAAGCAATCAAACATTGTTCCCTTTGCCAATAACACATCATTTGATTTTTGAACATGAGACACACCTCACAATGACATGTAGTGTTACCTTCTACAGAGGAAAGGTTAACTCTCTGATGCCATTAGAGGGAGGGATTGCAATCCATGTCAACAAACTGCTCTTTGATGTGAAATGGACAAACTCTTGTCTATATCAACTCTTGAATTACATCCTTTGAAGTGATGGAACATGCATGATTGATTTCGTTTCAATGAACACGCACTGACTGTTGATGTGGTGGCATGACAGTCAAAGGAATGGTTAATATCACAAATACATTTACTGTTAAGTGACTGGGTACAAGTAGGAATTACAAAACATGATTCAACCTTCCTTGTATATTTATTGATTATTATCGGTTCTTGAGTGTTTGCTTTAAAGGATGAGAATGGTGCAATTACCCAGATTCCCGTAGTTAAGCATAGATGTCAAGTGGACTTTAGAAAGAATTTATCCTTGAATATTGATGTGATGCGTATGAGTGAGTGAGTTGGGTTTAACGCCGATTTTAACAATATTCCAGTTATATCGCAGCGTGTCAGCTTAATGTGGGAGGAAAGCCCGAAGTGATGCAGGTCTCAGATGTTAATCACTTAGGTGAAACTCACAAGCACAGTTATGGTGCTGACAAACCTAGAAACATAATCGAGGCGAACCGGGATTCGAACCCACAACCATAGGATTCTGGCGTGCCCAAGGGACGCAGCTCTGTACAGCGAATCGCGGTGCATTAGACGACTGGGCTACCCGTGCCCCCTGATACGTATGACAGGATGAGTAATATGCAGAATGTCAAATTAATAACTTTTATGTTCTGAAAGAAAATAAACAACATCTGTGTTTTCATTTGATTCTGTGTGAAATTCAGGTGATTCTGCGTGAAATTCAGGTGATTCTGTGTGAAAATCAGTTGATTCTGTGTGAAATTCAGGTGATTCTGAGTGAAATTCATTCCAGTTAATGGGAGACTGTGCTCCATTGTCTTGTGCTAATTTTACGACACTTGCTAGTTTTAGACTAGTAATTGATACTATGTGTGAAACTGAGACAAGGAATTAGGCTTAGCACAATTAACAGATTCATATAAATCATACAATTTAACTAGCAGACAAACACACTGGTATTTAAAGAACTTTTATCAAACCTGTCAGTCAGCCCAAGGCTTATCCCTCTTCAATAAAACCATTCTCTACAGGAACAAGCTACACAAACAGTAAGTGACTTTCTCCAAATCACTATTCATATCAAACGTCCTCTGAATAGATACATGCATATGAAAAGATGTACATCAATGGATAAATGAATAATAGACATTAATATATTGCAGAGAGATTTGAACACCAGAAGCTGAAAAATGAATGAATCGATGATTGCATTTATTATAGGAGTATCATTTAATAAAATGTCTATTTTAAAGTCCTATTTACAGCACATTGTTGGTGAGTTCATCAACTTGAAAGCATATTTGGAGATACTTTTCACATTTGTGTTCTTATCTCAAAATTGGTGAAATAATGCATAACCTATTTCAACCAATGCAGTTGAAGTAAGCGTATTTCCGCGAAGTAGGGTACGTGGAAACAGTTTAAAGGGACGTTGCACTGAACGTGCATTAACGTCATTTTCTTGTAAGAAAAAGTCAATACTCACCAAAATCTGCACTCGAATCGGAGACCGTCATGATTGTCGGTGGTCAGTAACACACGATCTATTCACAAGTTCTGACCAACATATCGCGACTTGTGTAGCCGGCACTTCACTCTCACGAAGACACGTTTTGCGCGTGCTTCTGTTTACGTGTTGATTTCACTCGAGTTCCGCACCACTTCTCCAGGAAATACCCCAGCTTTCACAGGGGGTCCGACAGGGTTGAGGTAGTTGACTCATGACATTCTGAAACAATAAAACAGATACATCAACGTTCTCGTGTTTCTTACACCTATCAACCGTGTTACGGATATGTTGATTAAAACGTGATTGTATCTCAGTGTGTGTTATTTGAATACTATTTGTTATTTTTCGTTACTGAGGTACAACGATATCCCTTTCGGTTCTCTCGGGAATACGGGTGGGTTGATATATACCGTTGCTATTAATAGCTGGGCGGACTGTATATTACCCTTTGAACCGATAAGCTGTTGAGGATTATCCCTTGAGTGTTTATCTCTCTAAGCTCTCTTCTAAGATAATCTGCTATATATACTACACACGTACGGTGAGAGATTGCAGACCTTCCTACCGTATAGCCCCTTGGCGATTTTCACATTTATACTACTTTTATTAAATACAGTGAATCTTCAAGGACGAAAAGAATCCTGACCGGCACTACAATGACTGTCGTGCCGAAACGTTTGTTTCCGTCGATGTTAAGAATGGCTCGGCAGTACCCCATGTTTGTACCCCTGATTGCTGAGGACCGGTTAGTGTGTGTCCCATTGTGTATCACCCAAGGCCGTAGTTAACTTGTTTTGACAGTGGGGGCAAATATTTGTACAAGTATCACTTGTCCCCAACTTGATTCAAATAAAACTGTTTTCTATAAAAATAAAAAAAACCCTGGCTGGCTACGGCACTGTCACCGTACCTCATATAGTCATCATATTATCAACCACCTGTTTGGGTCTCTCTCTCTCTCTCTCTCTCTCTCTCTCTCTCTCTCTCTCTCTCTCTCTGAGTCAGTATACTGTGTCTGAGTGGGGTGTTCATGTTAAACTGCGGCATGGTATCTCAGTGAGCTAGCACTATAAATCGGCATCAGTCCGGACTAGTACAAGTAGCCACACACATACACGTGCATACTATATAAGTGCAATAATCTTGGACGCGACGTCAAACCCAATTTCACACACACACACACACACACACACACACGAGTTCCCAACAGCTCCGTGTAGTGAGTGGTCGCTCGCTTATTGCCACTAAACCCCAACACTAAAAATATATGGGGCAGGCGCGGTCGCATTGTTTTTCAATAGAGGCATGATCGAGGTGTGTCGTTTCACTGACAAGTTATTAAGCTTCTGTGATAAATCATGCAGGCCTTGTTTGTGACGTGAGAACGTCCACTTCACAACACCCAGTCATAGAGCGGGTTTCCTCTGCAAAAGCAAAGGTTCTCAGTTACATCGCGATTAATGAGGTGCCATGTCCGCACTTGAACAGAACTTCTTTTCCATCCGTTGGTGATTAAACTTGACACCCGTTATTAGTTATATAATCACAGTCAATCGTCTAAAACGCGAACAATGAAACCACCCCGTTAATACGAGGTTCTTTTCCCAGTTAAACCGTCCTAATTAACAACATTGAGTTTCGCACTATTGAACCATACATGAGAAATGTGTTCCCCAAAATATAAAATTCCGGAATGCTGGGGTTGCGGATAAAGGGAATCCGGATTACCGGGTGTCCGATGTATTTGGTTAGGATATTGTTCCTGATCAAACACAGCCAAAATATTGTTGATTCTGAGAGATAGAATGTCACACACCCAAACAATCTCACCAGTCCCGCCTATTTACTCGAGCCATATTTCGCAATGAGGTTGTAATTGGAGGGCGGGGCTGTTTCTGCAGTGGCTGTTATCTCCATGTTACGGCGCGGGGAAAACAAGCGCTCACTTAAAGTATGTCAATGCACAAAACCTACACGCCATTCTAGCTGGTGTATTGTTGTTATATTGCCGATTACGGCATAAAATACCACTCATCCACTCACTGGTGTGAATGCAGGCAAACTGTCAAATATACTCAGAGTCAAAAGTAACGGAACGGGATTAACGCCATGACGTGAGAATGTTATAATCATTATGTTTCCCCGAAAAGCGTATTTAAGCCCGAAACAGGCACAGTACTGATGTACACTGTAACCTTCGTCCTTCGCCGTCGGGGTACGATGACACACCAGTTCAACCAGACCACAGGGATATGTTTTGCGCTCCGGAGCCCCTGGGTTATAGCATTGATGTCGAGTGAATGATGTTCATCTATGTAGTTGGTTTTGCTGATTGTGGATATAGTATGTTGTTTTTTGGTTTTATGAATCCTAAGAGTTCAAAGGAAAAAGAACGCAAGTGGATTTTGTTCTACTTAACGAACCAGTGTGATAAATTTATGTTCTGTTTCTTCTGAAAATAGTGTATACAATAGTAGGGAAAAAATCCCGTGCAGCATGAAAAATAACTTTGAAATAAAATTGCCATGTTTTAGTTTAGAATCATGCATGATAAACCCATGTACAAACACATTGTCATGGTTACGCACGATGAACCAGAAATTGCACGTGGATTCAACGCATTGCATGCACAAAATCCCACGAGTAAGAAATTCGTCACACATTCACAGAGCACGTGGGGTCGAGTCAATTGAAACACGAGTAAATCGTGGTAGTGAAAATAACTTTGAAATGCAAAACCTTGTTGACGGCCTAACCTCATTATGTCATGCCACGCCTATCTGAAAATTCGGCGATCGGGTAGCCTAGTGGTTAAAGCGTTCGATCGTATCGCCGAAGACCCGGGTTCGATTCCCGACATGGGTACAATGTGTGAAGCCCATTTCTGGTGTCCCCCGCCGTGATATTGCTGGAATAGTGTTAAAAGCGGCGTAAAACCCTGCTCTCTCACTATTTGAAAATGAGCGGTTGCGTGCAATGGCATTGCTTGGAACCGGATTGTTTGAAACCCTAATTGCACAAAACGTTGTTGTTTGGCGTTTTGGTGTTCATCGTAACACCATAAAGTCGCTCTGGCATAAAGGCATCATATCACATTACAGAACCCCATGAGTGGTCATCGTTGGCAATTCGACAGGTATACAGTAACGTCCAAACCAACCGGTGACGTTGGTCTAACTTTGACAAGCCTTGCTCCAGATCTGGAATGACATCCCTCAACCATCTTGCGTCGTCGATGAGGTGCCGTTGTCAAGCTTGTGTCGCTGTTAAGCTAATGGTGGTCACACCCGATGCTGGCTTGTGAACTGACAATTGACCCCAAACCACCTTCAGCCTGAGATGACGTGTGCATACAGAGGACATATACAGAATGACGCAATTGGAACACGATGACACACATCAACCAAGTCAGCGAGCCTGACCACCCGATCCCGTTAGTCGCCTCTTACGACAAGCATAGGCGGCAGGTATATGGATTGCTAGAGACCTATTCTCTACCCGGATCTTCACTGGTGTGAAGTGCGAGAAAGCCCTATAGTGATGCCTGTCTAAGATTTTTACAGTCTCTTTGAAATCAGACTTTAAAAAGATCTAATTTTAATGAGATAAAGACATATACTACTTTGGTGAAATTCACAAGCATGGCGATGGTGCTGACAAACGTAGAAACATAATCAGGGCGGATTTGTGATCAAACCCATGATAATTGATTTCAGGTATATCTTACGGCGCAACTCTGCACAGCGAATTGCGGCGCCTTACACGAACGGATCATCCGTGACCGCAATTATGCAATGAAGGTTTTTTGGATAAAAATGAAACTCATGTAGCCTGAGATGAGCGAAACCGAGTTTTTGTGTTTGCAGCTGGTTCGCCTGGTCCGGATTCGTACAGTTACAGCCCGAGAAGATGCAGATGAGATATCACAAACTGCGGCGTTAAACAACATTCGCTCGATCACTCATCGGAGTGTGAACGCGAATATTAATGATGCCCCTGCCTGCTAATGTACCAAATGCGAAAAGGAATGTCAAAATCAATGTTCTTACAACAAGCAAGAGACACGGACGCCCACGGTAATTAATGCCGCTTGTTTGATAACCATATGTCAAGCTTAGCACTCAAAAGATGTAATACCTAATTAAGCTTGTATTTCCACAGCATTAGCCATTACAAGCCTACCTGTCTCCTAATTAGAGGCTGATTGTAATTGATTTGGGATCTTTATCCAACAGTAACCCTTCATAAACGCCGCTTCTGTGATAGATGGTTTCCATGAAAGGAGTGTTGCAGCTGATAAATCGTCGGGGATGTTGCGGGGGCCCTGACCGGAAATACATCACTGATGTCGTGCTTCTCCAAGACGCACGTCCAGATCTTGTTGGCTTTTTACGCCATGAACAATATTCTATCAATATCACGGCGGGGGACACACATTGTTCCCATCTAGGATTTCAAACCCTGACTTTCGGCGTGAAGAGCGAACGCTTTGAGCAGTAGGCTACAACACCGCCTGCTACGATCTAGAGTACTGTGACGTATAAGAATAGGTCTTCAGCAACCCATGCTTACCGTAAGAGGTGACTATGCTTATCGTAAGCTCTTTGGTCAAAGAATCCCTTTGGAATATTTTTTTTATTTTACACATGTCTTACATCTAAAAATACACTCTAGATACAGTTAAATGTGTTCAGTCATACTTTATGAATAGCAATATATTCTTGCTCTAAAAGGCGTCTATGCGTGTCGATTATTTACAGACGGCGGTCATATACACATATATATATACACAAATCGTGAAAATGTTTACCACTCCTGGCGGCCTCTTTACACACAACACCGCGCTCACGTCTACAGGTCTTTCCTGTGGTACGGTAATTAGTAGAACCCCCTCCCTCAAGTGTATCCTCCATGATATAACCTACTCTCATTAATTAAATGCTGCCCTTTCCCAGCGTCACGGCTATGGAGCTGAGACAAAGAGACCCTACCGTCATAAAGTAATTGGGGTCCAATAAAAACAATGCTCCACCAAACCTCATAAACATGGTCACTGAAAGTCGTACTACAGGCGTTTAATGTCAAATCACAAAAAAATCATTTGAATAGCAATAACGTTTAACAGGATCATGTATTCTCTTAACACCATCGCAAAACATCATGTAGAAGCCACAACAGTACTCATATTTTCCAACAAAATCACATCTAAAAATGAGACA